GAAGTTTTCTACTACTATTGTGGAGCTGTCTGTCTCTCTTTTCAGTGCTGTTAAAGAGTTTGTTTTATGTATTTTGGAGCCCTGTCATTGGGTGCATAAATATTTATTATAGTTATGTCCTCTTGGTGTATTGACCCTTTAATCATTATATAGTGTCCTTCCTTATCCTTTGTGGTAGATTTTACTTTAAAGTCTATTTAGTCAGAGATTTATATTGCCACTCCTGCTCTTTTTTGAGTCTTATTTGCTTGATATATTTTTTCCTTCCTTTGAGGTTTAGTTTGTGTCTTCAAGGTGTGTCTCTTGTAGGCAGCATATAGACAGATTGTGTGTTTTTAATCCAGTCTGCCACTCTCTGTCTCTTTATTGGTGCATTTAGTTTATTTACATTCAACGTAATTATTGATAACCCTTCCTATTGTTGGGCGTGTAGATTGCTTCCAGTGATTCACTGTTTTAAACATTTCGAGTGTCTTCAGACAGAGAGCTTTTTCTGAGCTCAGGATTTTTCTTTAGGCTGTATTCCCAGATAATGTAATTACTAGGTCAAAAGGACAGCTAAAGATAAATACAGATATGAAATTTATTTTTAGACCCCCCCACCTAACTTTTAAGTTGACAAAAGGCATAAATATTTTGAAGGCCTGTAATACACTGTGTCAGTTTCTCTTTTCGAAATGGTTTGCCTGATGTCTTAGTTATCTAGTGTTGCTATAACAGAAATACCACAAGTGGGTGGCTTTAACAAAGAGAAGTTTATTTCTTCACAGTCAAGTAGGCTAAAAGTCCGAATTCAGGGGGTCAGCTCCAGGGGGAGGCTTTCTCTCTCCGTTGGCCTTCTCATCAATGCAGAGACCCTGGGTCCAAAGGATGTGCTCTGCTGGTGGCGCTGCTTTCATGATGGTATGAAGTCCCCCTGTCTCTCTGCTTGCTTCTCTCTTTTATATCTCAAGAGATTGCCTCAGGACACAATCCAATCTTATAGATTGAGTCCTGCCTTACTAACTCAACTACCGCCCATCCTCCCTCGTTAACATCATAGCGGTAAGATTTACAACATACAGGAAAATTACACAATACCGGGAATCATGGCCCAGCCAAACTGATACATACATTATTTTGGGGACATAATTCAGTGTAGGATACCTGGTGTACAGCCCCACCAACTGGGTACGACCGTCCTTATTCCCTGTGTGCTGAGTATCACTTAAAAACTAGTCAAGAATAGGTATGTTGTTGTTTTACTGTGCAGTTAAAAAGTCTCTAGCAAATTTGTCCCTGTTTGCTTATATTCATTTACTAACTAACTAACCCGTTGGCTGTCAAGTCGATTCCGACTCATAGAGTAGAACTGCCCTGTAGGGTTTCCAAGGAGCGGCTGATGGACTCGAACTGCCGACCGTTTGGTTAACAGCCGAGCCCTTACCCCCTTCACCACCAGGGCTCCATTTATTTACTACTTATTGATTTACATATTATAGAATAATTTAATTGAGAATTGGCATGTATCAGTGATTTCAGCAGAGTACAGTTATGGTACTGAGATGTCTACAAATCATGAACTTTGTGACACATGGAAATACCACCTTCAAATGATGGGATACATGTAAAGTGTTTGGCATAATGCCTGGCACATTGCCAGTGCTCAAAAAGGATTAGTTGCTGTTATTCTTTAATAATAATGTAATTGTTAGGAATGGTTAGAACACTTAAGTTTTTTTTTTTTTTTTTTTTTTTTGGCATGACGAAGAAACATGGCTTAAGGGGCATGTTTTGATTGAGCGTGGATATCTGTAGGGCCTTCATGTTGAATAAGAAACAGACCTCATGTGACTCTAGAGGACGGAAATGGAACTCAGAAACAGAAGATGACTTGTGAAATATAAGATGCTTGTTAAATACTTTGTTAATAGTAACAGAATAAAATTTAAGTTGTCAGAAGCAGATACAATTTCATTAAAAGGAAGAATTTTTTAACAGTTTGACTTTGTAAGTGGTTATAAATTTTTTTGATTTATAATATCCTTGGCACAGTGCCTGGCATACAGAAAACACCACTATTTTTATATAATTTTCTTAGTAGGTTAGTGGCATAGTTGGAACCACAGCCCTGTTCTGACTCTACTTGGTGGTGTTTTAGCAATACCATAGGGCAGCACCTCTGAAGTTTAATGTGCATGTGAATTTCCTGGGAATCTTATTGAAATGCAGATTCTGATTTAGTAGGCCTGGGGTGCGGCTTGATGTTCTGCCTTTCTAACAAGCTTCCAAGTAATGCTGCTTCTGTTATTCCAAGGAACACACTGTGTAGCAAGGCCATAGGTAATTGTGAAAATCTTTTGGTTCCAGGTCTCATGGTGGAAAAATCTCTTTCAGCAGTGATTCATTGAACATCAGGCATTGATTTTAAGACCTGGCTCTGCCTTTATGGAGCTTACTGTCTAGTAGGTAATCCCAAGAAGCAGATGGGCAATCACAATAGAGTGTGGTGAGTGCTCTGATGGAGCAAATGCAGAATGCTAAGGGAGAACATAGACAGGTGCCCTGCCCTCCCTTTAGGGACTCAGAAGAAGTTCTTCCTGGAGGTAGAAGGAGAGCCTGCAAAACAGATCAAGAAGAAATAGCCCAAGAGGCAGGGGGAGGACCAGGGAAGTATGGCATTACAGAGCAGTGTTATAAGGGGGGAATGTTTAATATAGCGTCAAATACTCTGAGAAGACAAGAAAGAGAAAAACGACTGAGAAGTTGCCAATGGGTTGTTCATGACCTGGGCAAACACAGTTTCCATGGACAGAGAGGGACAGAAGCCAGATTGCAGTGGGAGGAGTGATGGGGAATGAGGAAATGAAAATAAAGCAGGTCAGTACTTTGAGGTGTATAGGTCACATCTCTAGTTGGTGGTAGAGCTAGAATTGGAGCCCAGTTATAGTGACTCATAGTTCTTTTTGACACCTTGTTCTAAGCCTTTGAAAATTAGTAAATCACCTTCACACGATGGACATTTCTCTATGTCTACACATTTGATTTCTTGACCATTCCTTGTAACTGAGTTTACTTTTAATATTGACCAAGTCAGTAAGGGTAAAGAGAAATGGAAAGTTAATTATTATTTGTGTATTGAATAATGGCATGGTTGCGGTTCTGGAAATGCAGAATAACTCTGATGCTTTTGTATGTCAACAGCATTGGAATGGCATTTATTAACAGTAGTTTGCTTAGCTTAATTTAGGAGAAATCTTTCTCAGATCCACAGATGTTGGAAAAGGAACTTCTCTATGCCTCTTCCCTAATCCCATGTGGATTCTATCTCCTATATTAGGAAGTCTTTGGAGACCTTTCACCAACACTTTCTGGAGAGTGGTGGAAGCAAAGCCACAGTCAGAAGGTGAGGATAGAAGACCCTTTCAAGAAGCTTGGAGACAAACAGAGGGTCTCAGTGGCCAAAGGTTTTGGGGAATCAGAGGGAGACTTTTGTTGTTGATGTTTTGTTTTTTAAAGAAGGGAGAGACATTCCCCCAGCATTTTATTCTGAAAAAACTCAGACAGTAAACTGAAAAGAATTTTAAGTGAACATCCGTATACTCACTACCTACATTCTCTTATTAACATTTCTCACCTATCCTTCATTACTCCATCTTATTTTTTTGATATATTTTATGTAAATTATAGATACCAATACACCTCCTTGTAAATACTTCCGCATGCATATCATTAACTAGAGTTCAATATTTATTTATAAGTTTTTTCAAGGTTAAATTTACATACAATGGAACATAGAAATCTGAATTATACATTTGCTAAGTTTTACAGATGTTTATACCTGTGTAACCCCAACACTTGTCAAGATCCCTCGTGTAGTCTCCTTCCCACCCCAAAGCCACTCTTCTGATTTTACTCCACCATCGATTAGTTTTGCTTGTACTGGACCTTCATATAAATGGATCATACAGTATGTATTCTTTTGTATAAAGCTCCTTTCACTCAGCTTAATTTTTTTGAGATAAGTTCACGTCGTTGCATGAATCAGCAGTTTGTTGCTTTTTACTGCAGCTAATATTCCGTTGTGTAAAGATAACACAATTTGTTTATTGATACTCCTGTTGATGGACATTTGAATTGCTTCCAGTTTTTGGTTATTATATTAAAATTCATCTGAGCATTCATGCACAAGTCTTTGTGTGGACATGTTTTTATTATTCCTGGTAAATACCTAGGAATGGAATTCTTGGGTCATAGGATGATTTTATAAGAAATTGCCAGTACGTTTTCCAAAATGGCTTAACATTTTATACTCCCACCTTGTTTGATAGTCCTTGTTGATGTACATCACTTGAGGAAATTTTAATACTGAGGGAAAGAAGCCAGTAGAAGGATAGGATCCCTCACGTATTTGTAAACTTTGATGCCTTAGTAAATATATTTACACGTATCTAGTCTGTTTAGTCTGTCATACTGTGGTGGCTTGTGTGTTGCTATGATGGTGGAACCTATGCCACTGGTATTTCAAAGATAGGTAGTCCCTGATTTGTGACAGGTATCCTTTTCAATGACTCCATTTTAAGTTGGTTCTGATGTAAGTCGAATACCTCTTCTTTTTTGTAGTTTTCATAGCCAGCTATATGGCAGTGTTTTGAATAGTAAATCATAACATTGAAGCTCTGAGAATGATGACATAAGCAAATTACATGCTGCAACATTGTATGTAGCACATATTACTAACAATAGGATGTAAAAAAAAACAAAACAGATGGTTGTAAATGCGTTTTGTTGTAACTCAAATATGTCGTAAGTCGGGGACTACCTGTACCAGTGGGGCCACCCATAGTGTCAGGTTTCAACAGAACTTCCAGACTAAGACAGACTAGGAAGAAAGGCCTGGTGATCTACTTCTGAAAATTAGTAAATCAAAACCCTATGGATCACGACAAAATACTGTCCCATTTAGTGCTGGAAGATGAGCCCCCTAGGTTGGAAGCACTCAAAATACAGTGGCCACAACAATGGCCTTGAGCATACCAGTGATCATGAAATGGCACAGGACTGGGCAGTGTTTTGTCCTGTAGAACATGTGGTCATCAACAGCAGATTACAAAGCATTAAGCAATTGTTTAATGCTTGAATGTTAGTATAGTAAGATGTGGTTTTTGATCCTCAGTTCCGATTGATCGAAATTGCAGATTTGGATATGGTTAGGTTGAATGTATTCTGAGTTTGGGATGTTTCTATAAAAATGACTTTCTGAAGTCACTTTGCTTTACGTTTTTCTTCTTCCAAAAACATGCCCTGCAAGTGACCCAGCACTGTTTGTGATTTTAGCACCTTTGATCAGATGAGGTTTGGTAGGTTTTTGAAACAGCTTTGACTGACTCAGGTTTTACTCCCTTAAGATGGCCACCTTTTCTCTCATTTTTTTACTTGGTTGATCCAGGTGGCCCCTGACTAGAAATTTCAGTCTCCCAGAGAGCTGAGATCCTGCTCTCTTGAGAATTTTGTACTGTCTGTTCTATAGAATGCAGAGTGCAGACACTTTCGAATTTGCACTTCTTTAAAGCATTAGGAACTTCTGCAGTCTTTATAAATCACTGTCCTTCATTTCCAAAAGCATAAAGTTATCATCAGGCAAGCTTGATACTCTACTCATTAGTGATGAGGACTTTTTGTCAACAAAATGACAGTGGTGTTGGGACTGTCCATCTCAGATGTCTGACAGTCAGAAAAGAGGTTTATGCGCTGTGCTAAATAGGAGAAGTGATGCATAAATTGAGCACAACATAAATTTCATTTGCTGCTTTCTCGCTATTTGATATTTTCAATTCCATCAGTATCTATTTTCAAAAATCTTGTTGCTTTTATATAATCTGAAAATGAATTTAGCAAAGCCAGGAATGGCAGCAGCACAATAGTTGGTATATTCAATTTCAAACAGTTCGGGTAAGGCTGTACAAAGGGCAAGGGCAAAATGGCTCTGGCTATTTCTTGGGGGAATTTGTCCTTAAATTTTGCTTGATCCTAGGCAGCTGTGTGTGATTTGCCTGAATTAACAACTCTAACTTTGGTTAACTTTTATGTAAAGGCTTTGGCGGTTTTTCTTTTTTTTTTCCCTGCCTCTTTTTTTAATTTGTTGTTTTGTTTTGCATTAAAAAAAAAAAAAAGACATCACTGACTTATTCATACTTATTCATGCTGCATACTTTTTTGGGTTGCATTTTCACACCATTTCATGCTCCATGTAGCTTCTGGCTAGCAAGGAGGATGAGGACATGATCAAAATTGGAGAAGAATCAGACAAGAATCATTTCCTGAGTGACCAGCGTTTGGAGCAGAGTAATGAGGTAGGAACATGGATGGCAGTTAATCCCTCATTCCAGTCACCCCAAGCCCATGCTTTCTCCCAGTCTTGAATGAATCTGATCGGTTGTCCATTCATTCTGCCTGTATTGAATGCCTGCTGTATGCTAGTGAAGAACAAAAAGACTAGATCCTTTCTTCCTGAAAGTTACAAACTTAGTGAGAGAGCGAGTCATGATAGATGAAAGCAAACATATAGTTGCAATTGTGATAAATACTGTGAAGAAAATAAAAAGTGTGGTTATAGGAGAATAACAAGCATCTGATGTTGGGCATGGACAGATCTTTAGAGATCTAATCCAATTCATTCATTTTATGCACTGGAAACTAAGGCCTATGAGGGGAGATAATTTACCCAGGACACAGTAAGTCAGGGATAGAGCTGGGACAAAAACCCTTGTCTCTGGACTGCTGTGAACTCCCAGATCATTTTGATTGCAGTATGAAGAGCCAGTGATGGAACCAGGGTCCTTTGTAATCTCCTGGTCTGGAACCCAGCTCAGTCACATCTGGGCAATGTGAGAATTTGACCCCTGTCCACATAGAACCCTCCTCTAGTGACATTGATACTGAAAATTTGGAGCAAACATTTTCCAACATTGAAAGAACCCCAAAGACTGGGATCTGGTGGGAGGTAGTAAGCTACAGATTTGGCGTTTGTGGCTTTCAAGGTGTTTAAGTTCACAGAGTCATTAGAGTCATGAATGGGAGACCATTAAAATCTAGGTAGTTTTGGAGATCAAAGCAGTTAAATAAGGGTTTGGAGTCTTGAGTTTGAGTCTTGGCTTTGCCACCACTGTCTCTGTGATAGGGCAAGTTGCTTAAACTCCCAGCTTGAGTTTTCTCCATCCATGGAGATAATAATACTTCCTTGTTAGGGTTGTTGTGATATTTAAATAGAAAGGCATATAATAAGTGTTCAGTAAATGATAGCAATTACTATTTTTATTATTATATTCTGGACTTTCCTTCTTTGAAGATTGCTTATTTGATGGATTTAAGAACTAGACTGGTGACAAACAAGACCCTATAAATAACAGCTCATTTGTGTGGGTCTTGTCTTCCATTTAAAAATCTTAATCATCTTACAAGTTTGGAGAGAGCAGTGATGGCTAGTGTATATATCACCAGCAGTAATGAAGTCAAGAGGAGTTATTTATAGACCGGTGGAGGAAATTTACAGCTTTGGGAAGGGGAGAAAGAATGCTAATTGGAGCACCTCAGGACATGCCCAGCATAGGCTTTAGCTAGATGCATCCTTGGTTCCCCTCCTGTGGGACCCTCAGTGACCCAAGAACATGGATTCATAAATAACAGCTCCCTGGGAATTAGGAACTCTACACCTTTCTAATGAAACAAATCAAAGTCATGTTAATTAGTATGTGTCTGTGAAGAATAAGTCTGCTTCTGATATATAAGAAGGAGGATAAATTATAAGAAGTATATAATAAATGTCCATATAAAGCATTATTAATGACATGTTTCCTTACCCATCTTGGGAGGAATTTACAAGGGTTGTGGGGTGGGGAAAGGCACATGCAGTATGCACCTGTAGTGAGTTAGGCACTTACTGTGAGTCAGCCATCTCATTTCATTCTCATAACCACATTAGGAGGTGGGCATTACTCTACCTGTTTTATAGAAGAGTGATGGAAACATCTCAGTGCTCCTCCCAGAACATCTCCCTGCCTTCAGGTGACTGTGGGTGGACCTGTGTCCCTCTCTCATCTCCCTCCTTTCATTTTCTTGGTCTTTTTGTCTCCTATTCTGTGTCTCTAACTCAGTTGCTCATTCACTCTCCATCTCCTTCCTTTCTATCCTGTCCACAAGCCCCCTTAGCCTCTACCTTATTCCATTGTTTGACCAAATACTTTTATTTGCAGGTTATGGAGGACTGTTCCAAAGGAGGCTGCAAAAATGGATATTTATGGCACACAGAGTCCAGTGTTTTGGACTATGATGGAGCCTGCAAACCTGGCTGCCCTGGAGACCAGAGTCTAGAAGAAGGAGAGCTCATAAACTTGCTTGCCCCTTTCTTGAATGAGAAGGCCACATCGTTACTAGTTTCCAGGTACACATGGGGCATTGCTTTGTCTTTCCAGTTTGAGAAGAGGACAAACTCATTTTGCTAAATTGATTTAGATGGTGGTGCCGTGTAATTTACCTGAGAGAGCTCCTGAAATAGCTTGGAAGGAATCTTGCCAGTCATGCAGTTAAGTAATTAGGCTGCATGCTAGTGACTGTGAGGGGACTTCAGCAAAAGCTCATACAAGCCCATTAGATAGAGAGGATTTGAAAGAAAGCTTTCCTTGAGAATTATTCCTGGGGCCCCGGAAAGGGCTTTCTGACCATCAGCCCTACTGAAATCTCTTGTAGTTTTTGCAACAGCTTAAAAAATACCACTGTAGTTGTGCCTCTGCTGTTTTATGTTGGGCTTGAACTAAATTCTTCTCTCGTTATATCTGCTGGGAGTCATTCCTGCGTGAGGAAGTAAGACAGGTTGTTTTCCTTAAAACAAAAATGGAGAAACATTCAGTATGTTTGTTTGTTTTTTTCCCCAAATTAATCCTTTTCCTTTAGGAGCAATTTTTCCCCCCTTTCACATTCTTTCTAGTCTATCATAACAGGCTTTGGAGTCAGAATGACATTTACCTCCATCTCTCAGTGCCTCAGTTTCTGTGACCATTTCTTAGTTGCTGTGAGGATTAAGAAAAAAATAATTATTATAAAAGTGGCTGGTACATGGTGTGTGTTCAATAAAAGTTTTTGGTTCTCTAGTATAGATGAAGCAATGGAGCTGGTGACTCCTGCTCAAGACTCTTGGCAAAAGCCAGGAACCCTGGTATTTCTTGTATCATTAGTGGGCTAAGCCTAATAAACATTTCTCCAGCTAAGAAAAGGATTGAAGCATTTTGTTGGTGAACTCAGTGCGGCTAACCCTTCTTTAATCCCTGGCATCTGTCTAACATTGTTGTGGCTTGAGTCCTTTTGGGCGCTCTGGGTGGTCAAGGACAAGATGACTAATTAGGTGAAGGTACCTTATGCCATCCTAGTGGCTGGGTAGGTTGAATCAGTTACCCCTGGGCCTAGCCACCCTGTCTTGGGGGACATGCCCAGTGGCTGTTCTGGTTTGTTATAATAGGGTATTAGGTGTCCATAGTTGAAGCTTGAGAAATGCAGGATTTCCTAAACATCAGGGTCCCATCCTATACAGCAGAGTTTAGAAATGCACCAATCTCTGGGGACCATGCAGGAATGTCCTTGGGTGAAGTGAGCCAGGAAAAAGTGCAATGGACTTGGATGGCAGTGTGATGAATTGGTGTAGGTGTGCTTACCTCAGGTGGGCAGGAGCTTTTTAGCTCCAACTGATTGTTGTCATCTAAGCACATGGGCTTAGATCTTTCAGACTGTTAGTAGAAGCCCAAAATGTATTTTCTAAATCTCTTGATGTTGAAGAATTTAGACCTAATTATGTTTCTTAAGAAAGCTCCGTGTGAGCCAACACTCTGCAGGCCAGCTTTGACATATGCTGTTCAGTTACCTGTTCCCTCCCCAGCACCCCTTGTAGGTATCTGTTCCACAGACTTCCAGGCCATTGTTGGCCAGTTCCAGTATTAGAAAGGCTTCCTGCTGCCAGCCTGGATTTGCTGCCCTAATCTTGGTCTCTGTGCAGCTTTTGTTCAGTGTGTACCACTGATCCCCATGGGAGTAGAGTCGTGAAAGCCACCCTGGCTGGGCCTGCTGGAGGGTTAACTAGGGCCCGCTCCCCCTCTAGCACACACACTCTGTGTCAGGCCCAGGCCTGCCTCATTTTACCCTCTCACCAGCCTTGCATGCTGCTAGTGGTGATCTCCTTTTCACAAACGTGGGAGCTGATGTTTGGGGAGGTGACAGTCCCTTAACTAGTAAGTGGTAGAGCTATTGGAGAATTTTCCAGGGAAGAGTTTTAAAATTTTGTTTGTCTTTGGGATAACCAGGTTTCTAATTTGGCAGGGGAACACCAATCTTCTGCCTAGGAATTCCCGCTAGGTAGTAGGTGTTTTGGGTGCACTGAAAAAGCAGGATTTTAGAGTCAGAAAGACCTGGGCTCTGGTTCAACTGTGCCATCTTGGTTTTTTAATCTGTGAAAGGGGGTGATAATACTTATATACCCCACGGGGATCTTGCGAGGATTAAATGAAATAATGGATATAGACACCGAGGTCAGTATTGAGTGGAGTTTTGTTTTGGGGATGTTACTGTGTAAATCCTGCCCTGCCCATTACCCCTACTCCTTCCCACTAACCCCAGGTAAGATTTGTGATATATGCAAGGGACAACAGCCAGCCAGTGAATCGTGTTTCTGTATTCATTGCCGATAATCCCAATGCAGAGCTTTGATAGAGCGAGACTGGAAGATTCAGTTTAGCCTTTGAGCTTCCCCTCAGCCTTTGAGCTCCTCCCACCTTCTAGTCATCCACTCTATGACCTAACGGACTAGAAGAGTAACTGATTCAATTTACCTATCGACTAGGATGGAATAAGGTACCTTAGCCTAATTAGTTGTCTTGCCCTTGACCAAGCAGAGCAACTCCTACCTTGAAGGTGGAGTCAGAAGGGTCAGAGCAGGGCCCAGCTTGGCTTGTGGAGAATGGGCTGGACACCTTCCCTGCTCTCCTGTGGCGTTCACCATGGGCGTGATTCTGTGCCTTCTCTGCATGCTTCCAAGTCATTTGGATCCTACTGCCTGGAGTACATAGTGTAGGATTTTACCACTTAAATTTTTTGGTCTTTGCAGCTATAATTAGGTGTGAATTTGATAGCTAAAAAATTGTAACAACTCAAAAGGAGAACCCTGGGTGCTAGATAATTATTTAAGCGGGGGGAAAAAGGGCTAATATAATCTTGAGCTCTAATAGAATTAGAGAGGATGACTCCTAGAAAATTTGAGTCTGCTCTTCTGGGCATGGTCAGAAACTCTTAGAGAATGAGGGATGGGTGAGCTTCCACTAGGCTGGCAGGGATCCAAGGAGAGAAACAGACAAAGAGACTCAATGTGTTCAGGAGAGTAGAAGACTTTGCAAGTGCTTTAAGGTAGGTTCCGCATCATAGAGGAACTGGACCTGTCGGAGTTCTATCCAGAAACTCAGGGTCCTCCTTGATTCTCTCTGTCATCTCCCAAATTTTAGGTGCCTGTAAGTCCTGACCATTCTACCTCCTCAATAACTCTTGAATCCATCTCCTTTTCTTTATTGCTGGTACCCCATTCCCAGTCCTAGCTTTCTCCAGGATTACCACAGCATCCTCCTAACCAGTGCTCTGCAGCCACCCTTGCCCCTTCCAACCTGTTTTTCACATTGCTTCCAGAATGATTGGAGCCCTTGTGGCACAGTGGTTAAATGTTCAGCTGCTAACCAAAAGGTTGGCATCAGCCTCTCCTTGGAAACCCTATGGGGCAGTTCTGCTCTGTCCTGTAGGGTCGCTATGAGTCAGAATTGACTTGATGGCAATAAGTTTGGTTTGTTTTTCCAGAATGGTTACTTGAAAATGTCATCTGTCTACCTAAAACCCCTCAGAGACTCTCTACTTTTCTAAGGATCAAAATCTGATTAGGCCCCGTGTGATCTGGTAGCCCTCTCCTCAGCTTTAGTTACACCATTTTTGCCTTGCTTTCTGTGTTTTGGAAACCCTGGTGGTATAGTGGTTAAGAGCTACAGCTGCTAACCAAAAAGTTCGGTGGTTCGAATCCACCAGGTGCTCCTTGGAAACCCTATGGGGCAGTTCTGCTCTGTCCTATAGGGTCGCTATGAGTCGGAATCGACACAACGGCGACAGGTTTGGTTTTTTGTTTTGTGATTCTGTGTTTTGGCCACACTGCCCTTCTTGCAGTTCTTAGATGGGTCCAGTGCCCTCTTGTTTCAGGTCAGGTACTCATGTTACATGCTGTCTCGATTTAAATTGATTGTCACTAATTTAAATTACCACTCAGAATGGCTCAGCATGAGGCTATTTTGCAACTTTCCTCTTCTCCCTACTTTTACCCCTCCCTCCCTGGCTGATGACCTTGCTGTATACATCAGTGAGAAAACAGATGCAGTCAAATTCAAATGACTTTATTTTTCCCACAAATGCTACCAGTTTATTTTTCTCTGTAACCCACAAATTCTGTCTTTCTACTGTTGATGTGAAAGAAATGCCCCTGCTCCTGTCCAAGGCCAACTCCTCCTCTGTACTATAGTTCATATCCTCACACAGTCCTCTTTCTGCATCATTTCCTGTCACTGAGTCATTTCTGTAAGCCTAAGACATGTCTTGATGTCAACCATTTGGAAAAAGTGCCCCCCTCCCCATGTTTTCTCCAGCTACTTGCTCCATTTATTTATTCCCATTCAATGCATAATTTCAAGAAAGAAATCCCTCTTTATCCCATTCCAGGTGCTTTCATACTCTTCACTGTACTTACCAAACCCAAAACCTGTTACCGTCTAGTTGATTCTGACTCATAGCGACCCTATAGGACAGAGCAGAATTGCCCCATAGGGTTTCCAAGAAGTGGCTGGTGGATTCGAACTGCTAACCTTTTGGTTAGCAGCTGAACTTTTAATCATTGAGCCACTAGGGCTCCCTACTTATCAACGTCAGGGACAGTTTCCAAGTTGCCAAATCCACTGGTCAGTGTCTTGGCCTTCTGGCACCCTCTGGTTGCTCTCTTTCTTTTGCCTTCTCTTAACTGCTTGTCTTAGTTATCTTGGTGTGCTGTAACAGAAATACCACAAGTGGATGGCTTTAACAAAGAGAAGTCTATTCTCTCACAGTCTAGTAGGCTGGAAGTCCGAATTCAGGGCTTCAGCTCTAGGGGACGGCTTCCTCTCTGTTGGCTGTGGAGGAAGGTCCTTGTCATCAATCTTCTCTTGGTCTAGGAGCTTGTCCATGCAGGAACCCTAGGTCCAAAAGATGTACTCTGCTCCTGGCACTGCTTTCTTGGTGGGTATGAGGTCCCCTTGTCTCTTTGCTGGCTTCTCTGTTTTATATCTCAAAAGAGATTGGCTTAAGACACAATCCAGTCTTGTAGATTGAGTCCCGTCTCATTAA